GTGGGAGGAGATACAGAAAAATAAAACTACCACATAAAACTCTATAAAACATACAGCCCTAATCTGTAACCAACGCAGGCCATGTGGAAGCATGTTCTTGTCAGGTCTTTCCTTTAAAAGCCAGTATTTATCGCGGGGCAGTGGTGGCGCACACCTTTAATCCCAGCACTCGGGAGGCAGAGATAGGTGGACCTCTGTGAGTTTGGAGGTCAGACCCAGGGCAGAGCGCAGGTGGTCGGGCTTCCTCAAGTTTACCCACAGAGCCATTTCACTGGCCCACCTCTCACCTTCACAATGAAGGGCTTTAGGAAACACACGGCAAGCAAGAGGGCTGGAGCCAGCACCACCGTCCATTCTTGTCGCTGCGGCAGTCTGCAGCTCTGGCGGCTTCTCAGCACAGCTTCTAGTCTGCTGTGCCCCTGTCCTCTAACTTCCACCGGGGCTCGGTGGGGAAGAAGGCCAAGCAGGAACGGGCAGGGCATGTACCACTCCGCATGACAGCGGCAGGAAGCTGGAGTCACTGGGCCAGAGCTGCTACATGTGTTCACACGTTTCCTTATTTGTTCAGATCTGACGCAGATGTCAGTTTCTCCATCTTAAAGGGTGACTACACACTCACTCTTCAAGGCAAAGTTTAGAGCCTATTTACTGTGAAAAATCACACACACACAATAAAGACCTAGGTACAGGAAAGGCTACTTTGTTACTGTTACTCTTATTTTTTTCCTCCTTTGGAGCAGGAAGTTATCAACAAATAAAAACCAACTTTTACTGATTCTGAATAAAATACACATAAATACCAAATTTACACTCCAGCCATCTGGCAGGTAAGACCTGTAAGCCTAACACTTAGGCTGAGGGAAAAGATGCGTTGGATGTCAGCAGGACTCTACAAGATGTCATCTGGAACGGCGGAGGGAGCCCGGGAAGCTCGGCGTCAGCAGGTTATGGGGGATTACAACCTTACTTATCTCGTGTTCCCTGGCAGCTTTAAGCCCTTTCCAGCCCGCTGTGGACAGCTTGTCAAGCACACTTAGAAATGGAGATAAATTGTACCTGACTAGCAAACAAAATGTTTCAACTTTCACAGGGCACCAAAGGACTACATCACATTTAAACAATTTGATCTGAAAATAGCAAACACTCAAAGTATTCAAAGGCCATGCATCTCAACACCACTGTCCAGGAAGCCTGCCTGTGCATTACCTACTACCTCCAGGACAGCCAGGGCTACACTGAGAAACCCTGTCTCAGAAAACAAACAAAAACAAAACAAAACCCACTCCGTGTGTCCCATCTTGTTTCCCAGCAAGAGCTGTTTTAGGAGATGCAGTTCTAAATGTGTTAATAAATTAGAGAAAAACCTGAGAATTTGTCAAAGAGAAACACTTACAACAAATCTAAGTGGCTCACCAACCACACAACTACATTTACACCAAGTCTGTAGCATGAAGCAAACTCATTTGCTATACTAAACAGCGAAGTTCCACACTATAAATGACTACAGACTCCTATGACACATGACTACAAGTATGTTTTAACATAAAGTATGTGCACGTGTGCACAAATGTGAAAGAGACTACTGACTGGTTTTTATACTGCTTTTAAAAACTCTCCCAAATCTGTATGTATCAAAGTGTTTTTCAAATGTATTACTTTTTAATCAAGTAGATGACAAACACCATGAACAGATTCAATAAATCTGGGACCTCTGGTACAGCTCTCTGGACAATAGCTGCATCATTGCACCAAGCAGAGCATCTCTCTGTATAGCCCTGGCTGGCCTTGAACTCAGAGATCTTCCTGTTTCTGCCCCCCAAGTGCTGGGATTAAAGGCATGTGCCACCACTGCCTGGAAAATTATTAATCTGCACAGATAAGGGTATACGGTGGTATGTACCTGGTATTTGACAGTAACACAATCTTCCTAGCACAATCACATTGTCACAAAACAGGACAGTCTGCCCACAACACACCACCGGGTCCCCCTCTGAGGCCGCTCCACTCTCGCCCGTGGGCTCAAAGGCCCCATTCTGACTAACCCACACACACTTCAGAGAGGCAGCGTGCTCTGGCTTACCCTCTTTGCTCCCACTTCTCTTTCCATAGCCCTAGGCAGCTCCCCGTCCCTCTAGGCATGACTGACCTCTTCACCCCCCCACAGAAAAGCTACTCAGAACACACTAGGCACTTAATATCTACCTTAAAATTATGAAAATAAAAATATGAACCTTCCCTAGACTACTAATGTGAAGAACAAAAAAAGCTTTGTACATTTCTTTATACAATGTTGCTTTCATGTCAAGCTTTACAGCTAACATCAGCAATTGAAATCTGGAGCTGGAGAAGCAGCTCAGGGTTTGCCGAGCATGTGTAGACCCTGGGTTCAGTCTCCCCTAAGAGAGGGTGGTGGGGTGGAGGCATCAGCAGGCATATGAGGAAAACTCAGCCCGAGAACCTGTCCCACAAACGTGTGGACAAGATTCTTCCTCCCAAAAGTGTTCTAACATTTCCTAAATAAAGGGAAAACCCTTTCCCCCAGAACAACACCCAGCATACAGATCTCATTTCTAATTCTCCCAAAGGAACCAGTGGGAAAATGTTCTTTCTGGGAATGTACAAAATAAGCTTGGGGCTTCTTAAAGTCTTACAAATAAAATTCTCAAAACCAAAACAAGATGGGACATCTGACAGAAAGTCAATCTAACCCAAAAGTCAATCAGAAAGCTGCTGACAGTCAAAGCTAAAATAATTTTAACAAGACAGATCAGTACTGGCCTGAAAACCCATATGGATACGTGTCAAGTGACTGAACAGACGGGAAGAAAAGAAATCTCCATAGATCTCCAGGTAACATGCAGACCACTCAGCGGCCAGACCTTAGAAGAGGCAGAGATAAAGCAAGGTACTTACAGTCCCTAAAATGAAAGCCGTTAGAAACCACCATGCTTAACAACGGATGGTGATGCATACTTGTAATCCAAGCACCTGAAAAGTGGAGGGGGGGAAGGTCAGAGAGCAGGCTGGGCTATACGAGACAATGTCTCAAAAAAAAAGAAACAAGAAATAATTACGTAATGATGCTGCAAATATAAAATGACCTTAAGGAATACGACTTTATCAACAGTGAGGATCACACTCAACAGCATGTGACTCAAGTCCACCTCTGTAGGAAACATTTCAAGTTTGGACTTATACTAAATACAAAGACAGAAAAGGTAAGGAACTACTGCAAAGATAGCCTCAGCTAATCAAGAGCACTTAAGGTGCTCTCTTTAAAAATACCTAACACTGGGGGCTGGAGAGATGGCTAAGTGGTTAAGAGCACTGGCTGTTCTTCCAAAGGACCTGGGTTCAATTCCCAGCAGCCACATGGCCGCTCACAACTGACTGTAGCTCCAGTCCTAGAGGATCTGGCAGCCTCACGCAGACACACATGTGGGCAACACACCAATACACATAAAAAAAAAGTTCTTAAAAAAAAAAAAACTTAACACTGTAACTAATGACAATGAATTTTGTTCATATTTTTTCAGCCAAGCAAAGATTTTATTATACCTATACACTGAAAAGTCACACCTTCTTTTTAAGTTTCACAGTAAAAAGAAGCTAGCCTAACTACTTTACTATGAACAGTGACATCAAACGTAACCCCTGCCTGCTGATTCACCATGGCCGTACCCACTAAACAAAAAGACAAACTAGAAAACTGGCACAAACAAATTCATTCAGATTCCGCTGTTTAAAATACATTTTAGAGTGCAGACAGTGATCAATGTATTATAGAAAAAACAATGTCCCAGCACACGGAAGGCAGAGGCAGGTAGATCTGAGTTTGAGGCCAGCTTGGGTCTCAAAAAACAAAACAAGTTGGGTAGTGTGGTGTATACCTTTAATCCCAGCACTCAAGAGGCAGAGGCCAGCCTGGTCTACAGAGTGAGTTCCAGGATAGCCAGGGGTGTTACACAGAGAAACCCTGTAAAAGTTCCATTAACCATGAATTAAAACAGGCAGTGTACTACACATGCAAAGGCTGGGGCTGTGAACTGCAGTAGCTGTGTGACCTTACGGTACGTCTCAAGTTGGAGTTATGCTGTCATACCTATGACATATTTGTAATATAAACCCCAAAGTCACTGTGTGGTGGTGGCGTACACCTTTAATCTCAGCACTTGGAAGGCAGAGGCAGGCAGATCTCTGAGTTCAGAGGGCTACACAGAGAAACTGTCTCAAAACAAAACAAAAAAGCAAAAACAAAACCAAAAACCAAGTCCTATCCAGTCTTGGGTGTCAGCAAGAGCTGACCCATCCGGCAACTAACTGACCTACGCACCTTTTGTTGTTTTAGCATTGTAATGTTAATTCTTTTCTTCTAGTATCTTGTATATTGCACACAAGATTTCATTGACATTTTGTTCACTCTTAGGAAGAATTTTACAGAATCAAAGAATCAAATAGTCAAACATAGGGAAAACAATGAAAAAAAAAATCTAAGGACTTACTTGCCATCCTCTGAACTACCAAGCTATACTTGACAAAATTCTACAATCAGAAAGGGAAGAGGGGAAAGAGGATGTAAAAACCTCTCAAAATGGACAAGAAATTAGACTAGTTTCGTTTTCTTTAACATCTTCTTTAATAAGACATTACAGCACACGTGAGGCCCAAGTGTCAGCTAAACATGAGGACGGGCATGGGAACAAGCTGAATGTGAACCCCGTTCCCTTTGACAACTGACAAAAATACAGAGTACAACAGACGATCCCCTCTCGCTATTTGATATCACCTTTGAGGACACTGTAACAGTCTTTAAACAAATCCGTCTGATAGAAACTCTCCAAATTAAATTACAGAGGTTTGAGTTGTCGCTTTTCTCCTTTCAGCAAACCTGACTGACATACAGAAGAGGGCCATGCTGAGAGTGAAGATCCATCAACTATTCCCTGTCACTGAGATACAGAAGGAAAACGGCGTCTTTCGCTGCTTACACAACAGTTAAATACAAGATCGAAAGGTTTTATTCTGAATTACAGACACGGAAACAAACAAACAGAATTAAACTGAAGCTTGCGAACAGGCTTTCTGAAAACCAATGCCCACCTGCGTAAGGTACACCCGAAAGCTCTAAAACTGTCACTAACTTGGGAGGCCCACAAGAAACAGGTAAAACTCTAATTTTGGTCAGCAACACTTTAGGAAACAATGGACACCAAGTCTGAGAGGCAGGAATTAAATAGAGTAACAGGACCGTACTTAGTGAGGCTGGGGACAGGGACTGAGGCTCCTCCTTGAGACACCTTCCTCCAAACTCAGAGCACTCTGAGCCAGGTGGTTGAGTCCACAACGCTGCCACCAAATGCCAAGGCCACGGCAGCCAGAGGGGAACCATCTGTCATGCACAGGTCAAATGCCCAAAGTAGCTGTCAGCGCTTATTAATGTTCTTTTGATTACATCCATTTTTAAACTTAAACTGAGTTATTACAGATTTGCATGTACACCAGGCAACAAAAGAAAATCAGAACTAGTCCTACTTAACTGGCAGAATCTGCCTTATCCAACTGAACCAATGTGAACACTGGCACATTTTAGAAGTCAAAACTTCTCTTTGATTTTAGGAGCCAGCACTAAATTCGTAAAACTATTTTACTTAAGAGAAAAGAATGTTCTGGGAATTAACCTGGCAGAAACCATTTCTATCTTTCTGTTAAATGTAAAAATCCATTCATAAAATTAGCTAAATAACTTTTAAAATCTCTCTCAAAAATTATGGTTCATTTTCAAATTAAAGAATTGGAACAATTTGCAAAATACTCACTATATATAAGACATAGATCATGATGGTTCACCCTTGTTCCATCGTACTTTGTCCAAACAGACCATTTCGTTCCGGCATACGCTTTGGGATACAGTCATGCAGAAGGGCTCACTGGCAATCCTGCCAATTGTATGGGTTGTGTCTGTTACACCTACAATGCACTCCCAGCTGGCTCGTTTTCAACCTTAGACAGAGGACATGATCGGCAGTGGGGAATGACGTGTGACTGCAGATACACGGAAGCAACAGATCAGCTTCTCTAACCTGTGTCGGCTGCCAAGAAATCACGTGCACACTGAATGAATGAGTCTGCTCTAGTTTAACAAACCTGCCACTGAGCTGAGAAGGGAGAGGACTGCTCTGTAACACTAGCTGATCAATTCATTTTTATAAGGCAAATAATAAGTTAGAACAGAATTCCTAGAACCATTTATCTTGTGATGTTGTAAAATCAAAGCACTACTTTATTAAATGAGTTATTTTACACAATATGAACATCAATATAATTACAACTGTAAAAAAAATTATAACGAGAATGGACTGATTTTTCAGGTTTCCAAATCAGAGTCAACTGTACACTTACACAGAATTGTCTTTGCATGAAGCCCAAAGGGAACAGCATAAAAATGAGTGTTTCTGTAGCCCCTTTATTTTTGCTGATCAACAGTTTGTTTAAAAAAGCAGCTGCAGGTTTGTTACCTAAGGTCTGAGACAGTAGAAGAGTCAAAGGTGTCATGAGTTCACCTGGAAGACAGAAAAGCTTCAGTCAAGGTCATGGCTGACAAGCATTTCAGGTGTCTAAAATGAAAGACCATCAAGATGTCAGAGTGGTGGACTTGTCAACTGGATATTATAGATAGAAGTAATTCTCAAACACATGGGTAATGTGCCACTACTTAGGAGGGCAAGAAGACCAACCGCACATGAAGTTTAAACTGGTAACTTCAAGGGCATTTCTACTGAGGTTCCCCCCCCCTCTATATTTTAATACAGAGAAGCTCTGCCTAGCACTGTAAGTAAGTAAAGGAAATGTAAAAACGTACTCAGTAAACTGCTCTGGACTTCTGGGAGACCCTCGTGCCTTTGAAATGACCATTTTCTCACAGCTGACAAGCCTTTCATTCCTGGCTCTTATCCCCTCTATTTTTGGCTACAGTTGCACGAAAAAGGAGGGGTCCAGAAAAAAAGGGCTTTTACCAATCATCAACTGTTTTACTGGAATACTTTACGATTTATAACAAACAGTTAAACATTCAAAGCAAAGGCACACAGTCTCTGCTAGAGGCAGACCCATTCCACAGCTGAGGAGGTATAGTTTTGCTCCTATATCCCAAACCAAGACTGACAAACCAAGAAAGACCAGTTAGTTACCTGTAAGCTTTATGCCTGAACATCAGCCAGCTCTGGAGGAAGTGGAGTCTTAGGGTGTTTGCTCTCAAAGTGCTGCTTGAAGGTCTTGGGGTCTGGCATTTGTGTCTAATTTGGAAAGTATGCAAAAGAAAAGAACCAGACTTTATGTAGGAAAGAAATACAAGTAACCTGTTAAAGCTTTGACTACCCGTGCTACACAATTACTGCAAAATGCTTTTAAATTCCAACCTCTAACTGGCATGTGAAAAAGGACCTTACATAAAATGAACTCCCAGCCCCGCATAGGAAGTATTTCATGTTGCTAACAGCAAACAGAAGACACTTACACATTAAGCATATAATCTTAATTCTCACAGAAGCTTTACCTTCTACTGTCATGCTCACTTGAGAAACTCACATGGAGCACACTTTGCCTGAGAGCTGTTTCATTTCAACTTGGGTTCTCCTAGTCTCACGTAACAGAGAATCAGTAATGACTTCCTTTGACAAGTACCTTCATTATTTATTATTCAAAACACTCTACTACATAAATAAAAAGTAAGTTTTTAAGATTTTAAAGTATATTTTTAGGGGCTGGGAAGACAGTTCAGCATTTACAGAGCCTGCTACATAGGAGGATCTGGAGTTTGTGCCCATATAAAAGCCACGCATGCACACACGTGTTATAACCCCAGAGCTACTAGAACAGAAATGGGGGGAGGGAGGTCCCAGAGCTAGACAGGGAGTTTAGCCAGTCTAGTCAAATGGTGAGCTGTGGGTTCAAAACAGTAAAGAGGGGAGCGATAGTGGATACGCCCAATGTCTCCAGAATATCTGCACACACCTGACAAAATCTACTTTTCAAGGTCAAGTTATGTCTTCCTTACTAACCTAATGAAAATTTCACTTTGCCTCTGTTAAAAAAATCAGAAGCCATTCAATTTTATCATCGTTACCAAGGCCCAACATGATCATGACTGTCAGAGACCTCCCTCAATGAGAACTTTCATGTAGTTAGGAACTTCTATTTGTAAAGACTTCAACAGATGATTAGCTTCAGCCTGACAATCATGTCTTCTCAAGATCCCTTCCCACCCACACCATCAATCTCACTCAAGTACAGGGCTTAAACAAACGGAGCCTCTACACCAGACCAACCCGACTATGTTATTTTTCCCTCCGACATCTCATTAACCTCAGGGGTAGTGAACCGACACCGACAGAGGCAGACGTTAGAGCTAGACTGCCTAGATGTGAGCCCTATTTCCTCTCACTCTGGATCACCTGCACAAATTACACAGCGCACGTGCAGATCAAATATGGGAGAGTACAGGTAAAACACGGCAAGCCTCCAGCAATTCTTTAGACACGTTACTTCTACGTGGAGTCTAAAGACTCTACGTGGAGTCTAAAGACTCCACGTGGTAGCGTATGTACCCAGACTGCGGATTTAGTGGAGATGGAGGACAAGACAACTGCACAGCAGCTTTTCACTCGCCAGCACCACACAAAGCTCAGCCTGACCCACAGGATGCAGCGGGGACTTTTTTTTACAGCACCTGAAGCTGTAAGCTACATAGGCTATACCAAGGTTACACTACGCTCTACGGATGCACCTTTATTCTACACAAGGGGTAGAGAATTCTGTCTTACCCACTTTCCTGGCTAGCACTTAAAAACATGCAGTGGCCTGGCAGTGGCAGCACACGCCTTTAATCTCAGCAGAGGCAGAGACAGGCAGATCTCTGAGTTTGAGGTCAGCCTGGTCTACAGAGAGAAGCCCTGTCTGGGCGGGGTGGGGGTGGAGGAGCGTGATCTGAGATCCCTTACCCTACAGACTGTGCAGGTGTATATTAAGGCAGCTTTGGCAGCAGCCTTTTGGTCATGTCCTTGTTTCTTCTTTTGTCCAGCCTGCTTTTTGGCATTTTTCTGCTGAGACTGAATCTTCTGCTGTCCACGAGCCATATCTAAAAACAGAAGATTAGGCATGAGAGTGACTTCTTTATTCTAATACAGAGCACTGTAAGCATTTACTAAGTTTTTAATGGTTTTCTTTTAGTAACTTAGTCTCAGAGTTGACTACTTACATTTTTTTGTTTTGTGAACAATTTATTTTTATTTCTTGTACAGTCATGTTTTCCCTGCATGTATGTCTGTGTGAAGGTGTCAGATTCCCTGGAACTGGAGTTACAAGCAGTAATAAGTTGCCGTGTGGGTGCTAGAATTGAACCTAGCTCCTCTGAAAGAGCAGTCAGAGCTCTTAACTGCTGAGCCACCTCTCCAGTACTGACCACTTAAATTTTATAAAGGTGTTTAGCAAGCAACATGAATGGATTTTCAAAGTCACATCCAATGTTCCTAGATTGTTAATAAGTTTAAAGCCATTGTGGAAATCTGGTTGGTAGTTGTATACACCATGACCATTCCTCTCTTGACACATGTTCAATAGAATCAAATGTATGCACACCAAGGTATATACAAAGATGTTCACACTGCCTGTGCTAAAACTAGAGAGAATTCAAAAATCAACCAGTTGTAAAAATAGATACACAGAGGAACGCCCAGTACCATCCAAAAAATAGATAACACACATAGGAATGCCCAGTATCATCCAAAAAATCATTTCTAGCCAGGTGTGGCCGCAATCCCACACCTTTAATCCCAGCACTAGGGGCAGGGGCAGGCGCATCGCTTGTGAATCTGAGGTTAGCCTGGTGTACAGGGCTACAAAATGAGATCTATTTCTACAAGTTTGTATCTCAGTGTCAGAAAAAGAAGGCAGCTGGAAAGAAACCACAGTGTACAAAGTCACAGTTAGAGGCCATTTTGCTGTTTATTGAGTCATGACCAGGGAGATAAGACAGAAGCATTAAAAGGTGCTGAAAATGTTCGTACCTTAAACCAGGTAATGACTGTATGGTACGTATATTTATTTTTAAAAAATTCAACAAACAGAGCTGGGAATGGAAGTGCAAAGGCCCCATCTCAGCCACTGGGAGACAGAGGAAGGCCTCACGCTCTGGCCAACATGGCCTACAAAGCAAGACCATATCCTCTCCTAAACAGCTCCCAAGTTTATAGAGCTGAATGCATACTAAGTTTTTATTTTCATTTTATGTAATGCCCCAAAGTTTAGTCTTCCTTCATTATTAATCTCCCTCCTAGCATCTACTACTGTGACTTACAATTGTACAACTTTTTAAAGTAAGTGCTACTAGCTAATCCTCCAAGAGATCACAGGGATACAGCAAACGATCCTTCTAGTACTAGGTTTCATTAAACTATTATACTATGCCAAATTTTCCAGAAGAGTTCTTTCCCACATGGAAACACAAATAATTGCACTTATTTGTGTGCAAGTAGAATCACGGGCTGGACAGTATTTGTGGCAGTCAGTGGGCAGTTTCCGGAATCCATTCTCCACTGTGTGTTCTGGGGATCCAACTCACACCCTCCCTCGGGCTCGACAGAAAGCACCTTCATCTGCTTGGCCACTTTGCTAGGCCCAGCCGCACAAATTATAAAGACAAATTAGTTCCCTGGTATAAGGGTGCCTTTTACAAAGCTCAAAGTGTCTTTCTACTCTTTGCTAACGATGGCCTGGAATTAAAGAAAACAGGTTAAAGCAACTGTCACTTGAAAGAGTCCTGTTAAAACCAGACTTCTAGTTAGACAGCACAAATTAAACCTGTTCACACAGGATCTACGAGACTAGTGCTTTTGAAGCATATTAAAATTAGATCCTATGTCATTTTGAATAGCACTGCAATTACATTTTAAACTTTGAAATCACTAAAAGACATGAACATACAAGGGCTGAAACCCTCATTAGCTACCAGATGTAAAGTCAAAGTGTCTCACAGAAACAGCAGAGCTCTCCTCCCCACCCCAATGGAAACTGAACCAATACATACTTAACTGGACACATTCCCACTAGAATTACACAATGAACTGAAAGCCTGTCCAGTCTATCACCAACTCTAAGAATGTTTAATATGCTAGCCTAATATTAAGAACTCCCATACAAGGCAAATATCAGCTGTTTGTCAAAAAGATTACACTTCATTTTTGTGTTCTGAAACAATCTCTTAGTCCAATGGCATATTTGGGGGAGGGGGATGTCTCTTTTGAGACAGGGTCTCACTATGTAGTGCTGGCTGTCCTGGAACTCAGAGATCCACCTGCCTCTGCCTCCTCTCTGCCTCCTGAGTGCTGGGATTAAAGGCATGCGCCATTACACCCAATGGCATATTTAAAAGTCCATTTTAATGATGGGTGTTCAATCTATGTGTGCAAATACTTCGAAAGCATTCTTAGTGTCCCTGTCTTAGCATCAGACCCTCGCTAAAACATTCTAGCTGTCTCACACTTCTTACTCTTCCACACAATATGGTTACGGATGCAAAGACATTGCTTTGGTGGACAGTCCTTGAGGATTTTATGTTTGGTCTTCTAAGTTACAAAACAGCACATCATTAATTCCAGAACTTTCCGTGCAATCTAGAAGTTAAAAACAAGCTATTTTAATAACCTTTTCAAGTACACTACTCTAAAAGACAATGTCCTAAGAAGAGCAGAAGCTATTTTTGACTTTTGAATTTGGGACTACTCCTAAACCACGACAGAACACTTAAAATTTAACCCATTTTTCCATCACCACCTAACAACAGTAACCAAAAGGCATGGGCTTCAGGAAAAGGTGGCGACCATTTGTTCTTTAAGACAAGAACGTGAGGGAGAGGGAGAGCTGCTCTAACAGGCTAGCTGCGTGGGGCAGGCCCCTAACTTCTGACAGCACCCTGGCAAGGATTTCCTTTCTGAAAGCAGAAGTGCAAACGAACCAACCACCTGCTTTCGGACAGCTCAACTTACGATTTGCTCTTCCGCAGCCCATCGAGTTCCCGACAAAAATCTTATGTGTGAACCGCTCCCTGACTAGGTACGACAAATCGAAAGGCAATAAATCGTTTGCAGACAGTTACCCGTTGATTTTTTTTTTTTAATGAAACTTAGTTTTCCCTGGAGGCTGCAAATGAGTTAAAAAACCAGGAAGAAGAATTCTGGGAAACCCAGGGCGCTCGAGACGGAGGCAACAAGTAAATCCCGGCCCTTAGGCGCCTCTCAAAGTCAAACAACTCACTCTGGGGCTGGGGGGCCAGGAAATGGGCTCGCGCCCCGCAAGCAGCCAGAGGAAGAGGCCCAGGCCGGCTCACGGCCCGACCCCGGCTTTGAACACCCATTCGTGGACCGACTCCACCCCGCGGCTGCAGCCTGGCCCGCCCGAGGCCTCGGCGGCCCTGCGGCCCCGCGCCTGCTCCGCAGCAGAGCCCGCCGCCCGCCCCGGCCTCCCGCCGCCCGCCCCGGCCTCCCGCCGCCGCGTGCCTCCCACCCCGGCTCCCGTGTCCCTGCGGCGCCGCTCACCCGGGCCGGGCCGGTCTGGCGTCCGAGAGACCGCGCAGCGCGAGAGGAGCCGGGCAGGACGAACAGGGAAGGAAGGGACGCGCCCCGCAGCGCTTGGGGCCTCCGCCAGCCGCCGAGGAGGGACCGAGCAGAACCGGGAGCACGACAGCCCGCGTCTCGCACACCCGCCGCAGCGCGCGCCCGCCGCGCCTGAGCCCGAGGCAGGCCCGTCGCTCGTGCCCGCGCACGCCGCCGCCGCCGCGCTCCCAGCCGCCTCAGCGCCGCCGGCCCGCCTGCCCGCCCGCGCGGTTCCGCCCCTCGCCTTCCTGCCGCGGCTCCGCCCCGTCCCTTTCGCATGCCCTCGCCCTTCCGGTCGGGCCGGCCAATGGCAGCGCTCCCCTGTTACATAAGCGCGGAGGGGGCGGGGCCTTGGACGGGAACTGCGGGGCCGTCGCCCCTGCGCCCGCTTCCCGCGCGCGCTCCTGCTTCCGGCGGCCGCCGCCGTGCGTGACCTCGGGCCTGCGGGCGGCCGAGCGGCTCGCGAGGAACTCGCTTGTTCGCCTGCTCTCACCGGGCCTCGCGCCGCCGCCCCTGCCGCCTTCGTGCCTCCCTGGCCGGCCGAGCGCCCGCTGAGGCTCTGGCGGGGCCGACGGTCAGGCTAGCGGCCATTGTTCTCTCACCGGGTCGGTGCTCAGGGCATTTTGACCTACCAGGGCCTTTCACTTAGCTGGGAGACTCGCGCCTGACCATCTGCTTCAGTACCCCCGGGCCCGCTTGGCCTGTAATAGGTTGGCCACCGGATTGCTAATATTTGGGATAAAAAAAAGGTCACTCCCTGCCGTCACTCGATAGACAAAGTAGTATAATCTTCAAATACCTGATTAAGAGCGATTGCAATGCTCACAATGCGGACGTCTACTGATGCTTAGAAATGGCGTCGTAAATACCTGCTGCGTTCATTACCCTCCCTCCAACATGCTGCTGTCCAATTAGATCTAATAAGGTAAACTGCGTTTGTGACCTAAAAAAAAAAAAAAACACACACTGTGTGAACCGGACCGTCCCAGGTAGAACTCTGATCCTCCCGCCTTCACAGAGCTGCTTGACTGTGTCACCACGCCCAGCCGGAGTCTCTAATGTGCCTGACCGTATGAGACTAGACTAAGTTACCTGGGCTATGATAGCTTTGTCGTAGGATCGTTTAGCCAGAAGTTAGCTTGCTCCATACTGTATGGAATGCAATCTTAGTGTAATGCAGCCGGCAGTGATTGGAGTGTGCTTTGACCCCTTAGGCTTTACACTCTCAGGCCTTTGTTAAAATTTAGTTAGGTCCTGAAGTTTTGTTACTGTCGCTGGTGGTCGTCTGTGAGCTCGTTTTTATTACTGTATGCCATTGACCAGCAATGTGCTGAATAAAGCATATTGAAAAAAACGGATATTGGACAGAATGTGTCTAAAAAGAATGGGGTTTGAAACTGACATCATGAAGCTATAATCACGTTTATAATTATATTGATCTGTCTTGGGGAATGAGAAAGTTGAAGACTCTGGAGACAGGAAATACAAAGCACCATTTGTCTAGCCATGAATGACAATGGAGAGTAGAAAGGGGCCACGAAGTCTGGGGACCTCTGTTGTGGAATAGAATTGGTGTGTTGCTCTTTTCCCCATGACCTAGAGGAAGTATTTATAAAAGCCAGTGTTCTTTGGGTTTTGATTCATATCTCATTTGAGAATTTGACCAAAGCTCTAGGTAGAGTATCAAGGCAACGCTTTGTTAGTTTGGGTGTTATCTTGGGAATCGCTAGGTGTTCGGTGGTAGCACTGCCTGATGCCATCAAATCCCATTTCCAGTTGTGGCAGCCAAAAGTGTTTGAAGAAGCTGGGTGTAGTGGCCTAGCGCCTTTAATCCCAGCACTGGGGAAACAGGCAGAGGCAGGCCAGTCTCTTTGAGATCCAAGACAACCAGGGCTGTTTCACAGAGAAACACTTGTCTGGAGGGCAGGAGGTGTGTGTGTGTGTGCAAAGATGTTTGAAGATGTTTACAGATGTTCATTCTGTGAAATCAGAGTGTACAGCAGTAAACTTGAAAATGTTCCTTTTGCTGCCTGCTCTTTATCTGACGGTTTCTGTGTGAGGCTTTTTTGAGACTGCCGCCCAGACCCTCTTGTCTTCTCTGAGCTCTTTATCCTTGAAGGAGTCGGGTTCAACCCCTCATCTAAGCACTGTTGCCTAGAGACTGTGGTATGATGGTGACTGGGTGCCATGATACCACGGAGAACGGCTGGAAACAGAGGATAAGACTGAGCGTGTGTGTAGCAACAGTTGGTGAAAGGCCGTGTCTTTGCTCTGCCGCCAGCTGGTGTCTTGCTTCGGTTACAGGAATGTGGCAGCAAACTGGATGTGAGCTCCTTAGGATCCTGTGCACATTCCTAGCTTTAATTTAGAAAACTCTATAGTACTTCTGGTAACATTTTTCTTTTTCTGCTTATAGGCAATTTCTCTAAGATACTATACAATAAGAACTTGCTGAGTTTCTATCAAAATCCACAATGAAATGAAAAATGCTTCTCAGGCAGTGGAAGAGGTTTATTGATCTGTTTGTATGCACATTGGGATTACTGGGGTGAAGGAGTTGCTGAGTAACCAGCATTGTAATCCTCAATAGACCAAGGATTTGAAGGAACTTCTCAATTTATCTGTGTGGTTAAGTTGAGAGCTAAATTAATGAAGGGCAACAGGATTTACTAAAAGACAGAAGAGACGCAGTCCAGGCTGGGCATGAAAACTCACACCTGGAATCCCAGTACCTAGGAGAATGAGGCAGGAGGATAGCCACAAATTTGAGAGGCTGTGTAGTGAGTTCAAGGACAGCCTGAGCTCCAAGTCAGATCCTGTCTGAAAAAAACAAAAAAGCAAAACAATACTACCGCCACCACCACCAACCCAAAACAAATACAGAGGGTCCTGTCTCCAAGGGCTTTCCCTAAGGTGACAGGAGTGGAAAATGACAGCAGTTTGTTTGCAGTGGATCCATTTGAAAAGTGCTAGCCCCCTGCAAAGACCTTCCAGTCGGTCCAGAGCTTGCTCTATTGTATGGTCTAGACATTGGAGACTCAACAGCAGCTAGGAAAGGAAGCAGCTTGAGAAAGAAAACTCCAGAGACCATGGGAGAGACACCGGCTGTAAAAAGACGTCCAAGTGCAGGCCTGATGCTGCTTTAGAATAAAGGAACACTGGAGAGCAGCAAGGCCAGTTCAGTGTTGCTCTTTCTGCCCGGCAAGTGCTGACTCGGGAGAAGGGATGAGAGAGAAACTGAAAAAATTTTAGGAAGAAGCATAGTAAAGCAAAGAAACTGTGGTGTTATGTGTGTTTAATCTCAGTACTCAGGAGGCAGAGGCAGGCAGATCCACCCAGTGAGGCCCAAGCTACATAGTGAGACCCTGTCTCAGACAGACAAGGATTCCAGAAAAGGAGGACCAAGTAACCAGACCAGAGAGGGAATCATAAAAATCTAGTTATGAAAACTACCACACTGGCTTGTGAGCTGAAAGTCTCCATGAGTGAGTGTGGACACAGCAGATGTGGGGGAAACACACCAAGGCACAACTGTGACATGTTAGGACGCTGGGCACACAAAGCTGAGCCTCTATTTCTGAGGAGGAAAAATGAATTAGTTTCATATAAGAATTAAAAACTGATGTTTGAACAATATCGAACATTAGAAAATAATGGAGAAAGACATAAAATGTATTGAAAACTTTCATTTCTTTGTGTTGTTCTTGCTAAACTTATTGGAAGATGGGCTCCACTAAAGTAAGGGAGCAAACTAAAAGGGGGGGGGGGTACTGCAGGTTCCAGGACATAGGGGTCTAACCCAAGAGAGACGAAGGAAATACGGAAGAGGACGGTGAAGGAAGCCAAGATGGCAGCCAGCAGTCAGATAGGGGAGTTGGGGAGGCTGAAATTGCAAGGATTGATTATTTCTTAAGAATGAGCTTGTGGAGAGATTATATAACTTGGATTTAATTGGTAATAAGGACATTGGGGAGGAAAAAAGCCAAGAATAAGCAAAACAAGTCTCAGCTACTAGGAAGATTAGCAGTTACACAAGGCAAGTTGATTATCCCTATCCTGTGGCTCAGCAGCAAGGAGCATTTGCATAATGGGGGTGGTGTGCGTGTGGGTGTGTACACGTGTGGAGCTCAGAGGACAGCTGGAGCCGGTTCTCCAACCCTGTCTGTGCTCCAGGGATCAAGCCTGGCTTCTGCGCTCTTGGGCCTCTCCCCACGGGGCTGTCCTACCCCCTACCCCTCTCCCAGACCACAATCCTCACCACAGACACAAGTCCCTTGGGAAGACAGGAATGTGAAATCACGAGTGCAGCCCTAGTGGGGAGAAGACCTGGAAAGGCTACAATGTTGTCCCATTATGGGAGGTACGTAAGAGAGGGAAATCCCAAGAAATATAAATGTTATTTAAACTAGTAAAGAAGTGTTTTTTAGATGGGTTCATGAGCCTAACTACTTCTAAGGAGTTGCTGCTGAGAAGAGGGTATTCAGTGGTCAGAAATAGCTGTTTTTCTACTACCATTGCAAGACAAGTTAAATTTCTCTGTGTGACCGTAACTGTCCCAGAACTCACTCTGTAGGACCAGGCTGGCCTCAAACTCACAGAGATCTGCCTGCCTCTGCTCTCAGCACTCTGGAGGTAGAGGCAGGAAGACCAGGAGATCAAGGCTATTGTTGGCTATGTAGTGAGTGTGAGACCAGCCTGGTATACATAAGACCTTGTCTAAAAAACAAACAAGAAAACAACCCCAAGCAAAATTAAAAATAAAATTAATTTATCAGCAAAATGACTTTTATTTCTAAGAGTTCACCCATGTTTGATTCTAGGCAGTATGCATGTCTTCACAGCTCTCTAGGCTTCAGGAAGGTGTCTATGTCTATGGTAAGGTTCCTGGCGTCTCCCAGGAAGGTGTCTATGTCTATGGTAAGGTTCCTGGCGTCTCCCAGGAAGGTGTCGGTGTCTAGATATTATGGTAGAGTTCCTGGCATCTCCTAGGAAGGTGTCTATGTCTAGATACTATGGTAAAGCTCCTGGCGTCTCCCTGCAATCACAGTTCCTTCTTGTCATTCTAGGCAAGGGCGTGCTTCATCTTCCCCCGTCCCATTTTTCAGTCCCATTTTTCTAGTTCTCTGCATGCCGTTCTTATCAGTGGTTGTCAGGAGGCTGAGTGAACCAGAGAATGGAATGTTCAGATGTCTTGCGGCCATCCTTGCCTTCTTTTGTTGCTGGCAGGCAGTGGGGTGGGAAACCAAACAAGCTCTCTAGGCAGGGTTTCCCATAGAGGGCTGTTGGGCGGAGGCCTCTCTCTGGGTTTGAATCCTCACAACTGTCTCAGTCTGATGGATAGTCTTCATTTGTCTGAGGTCTGTTGACTGTGGGTGGCAGCAGGATGAAGCCACAGAGAAATCTGTCTTAAGAATGCCTCTGTGGGTTTCCAACTTCCAGTGGTTTGGGAAGACATAAAACAACAAAGCAAAGCAAACCACTTGGTTTGAGTGGTAACTTTGGAGGAGAGAAGACAGTAAAATGTTAGTAACACCCCAAAATGTAACTGCTGTGTGGATGAATGTGGCTTCTATTGCTTTTAATTACATGTTCAATGTGCTATACATACATTCTCTGGTTTGATTTTAGTAATAGTTCAGCCATGAAGGCCCAGAAGAGTGTCTGGTGACCGACTCCCCAGATAGAAAAGGGAAGAGTTGGGCTGAGGGAGTCCAAGGCTCATTGTCCTTGAATGTCTATGATTTGATTCATCAGGACTTTTGGTGGTGGTGGAGTTTAATAAATTTTCCCTATAAAAGACAGCAAAAATCACCCCAGATTTCATCTGTATGGAAACTTAAAAAGGAAGACCACTTGTTACTTATATATAAAATAGAAATGATTTTTATATTCCATGGTTGATCACATGGTTGAGGGATGAACAGAAAAGAACGAGAATTAAGGGAAACTATTTGTTGAATTTTCTGTTGCTAGAGTAATCATATTTATTCTTTTCCGTATTTTAGGTTAAGACAGTTTAGAAGGCTTTCAGCACTGGAGAGAGACTGCCCCTTGGCAGGGCTTATTAATTCCTAAGGATAATACAGTTTGCTAGGAATGCACCTTTTATATGCAAACCAGTCAATTCCAGGTCTGCATCCCGTCCACAACCACTTCCTTTGTCTAACACTTTCATGTTATGTCAGTTTCCTTTCTGCCTGGTCATTCCAGGGCAACCCTGAGACAGTATAGTCTACCCAACAGCCCAAAGCCTGCTGAAGTGATTCGAGTTAGCCAACTCTGGCTTGCCTTCTAGAAGGTTCCAATGAAGGCTCTGGCCTCAATCTTCCTTTCTCCCTGTTCTGGTGGAAGTTCCACCTCAATCCCCCTCCTCCATCTCCTTCCCCAAACCCCGCCTCATCGCAGGAAGCCCACCAAACATGGCTCCTCCCCCAGAGATGCTCAAGACCACTCACTCCCACAGAGTCTATAAATTGCCCCCCAGAAAACAGACACATGGTTTTTTGGTCTCTCTTCCCTTTCTCCTCTTTGTGGGCCCAGAAAATCATCCCCGAGAGTTTTGCCCATTAGACCTGGGCATTTTCTAGTTCAGTTTGATCTGGCCTGATTTGGATTGGTGTGTCAGTGGAGAGGCTAATCAGGGTGCAGAAACTTTTCGTTCCTCTCTTTTATCTCCAACCAAACCCTGGGCCTCCTCACTTAGCCCTGAGGTGCTTTGTGGCCTCCTCTCGAACCATGCAGGTAATAAATTCTCTTCCCATGATTCTGACCTCTCTATGTCCTCATTCAGTCACTGATGAATCTGCCTGCTTCCATTTTAGGCTTAAAAGCCAAAGCTTTGAAGACAAAGTTGGTAAGGAAAGAAAAACTAGGCTCATTTCTGTTTATAATTAAACCTCTGTTTCTAAAAGATCAGGCTATGTCCCACCTGTAACCTTAACAACAGATGGGTCTGTGCTGCTTGTTCTAGGGAACAGCAACCTTTCTTTGTTTCAAAAAGTAGAACCAAGCCGGGCGGTGGTGGCGCACGCCTTTAATCCCAGCACTCGGGAGGCAGAGGCAGGCGGATCTCTGTGAGTTCGAGACCAGCCTGGTCTACAAGAGCTAGTTCCAGGACAGGCTCCAAAACCACAGAGAAACCCTGTCTCGAAAAACCAAAAAAAAAAAAGTAGAACCATTTCGCAACCCTACCTTTGCTTTAAAAGTTTATTTTGACCACCTATGACGACTTGTTATGCCCACTTGAAACCATGTCTTTGTTTCAGGAGGTCTTTGTTACTGACATGTTAGGTTCATGTTCCGCTCCTGTAACCCCGCCTATTTTGCCTGCCTAACCCCTGTTTAGAATCCCCCTCCCCCTGAGCTATAAAATCCTTTTCTTCTTCACAGGCAATGCTGACAGCTCAAACCCTGCCTTAGGGGGAGGCAGCCCGCATACACAAATTAAAAAGCTTGCTTTAATTAATTTGACCATGAGGATTTGGGTCCATGATCTTTCTCCTCCCATCATCTCCGCACATGAACCCGAGAGCATGCAATGAGACCGTGGCCTGCACTCAGCTGTTCTGTGTCGACAGGAACGCTGTACTTTCTGTGATCCTCACAGACAGAGCAAACTGGTTCATCTGCACAGAGGGTGTCAATAGAAACATTGGGAGAGATGAAACAATATTTATTTTTTTCTAGTTTTGAGTCAAAAGTTTTGGGGGAGCATACATTCTTAACCCCGGTCTTGTTTCGGTAGAAGGCACATTTATTATGCCATCAGGGGTCCTGAATCCTCCCTTTCGGCAGATGTCGGCAAATGACCTTCCATAGAGTTATAATTGCACTTGAGACGAGCGTGTCTGCCCCGGCTGCCTCAGCAGGTCCTTTGACACGCTACTGAAAGCTGTTCCAGGATGTAATCACGACACAGAGGCACTAAAACTTCAGGCCACAGTAGGTCAGCGTTCGAGGAGGGTGTGTTCCTGAATGACACCAATACGCCGGGTTGCTGCCCAGTAAGGAAAGAGATGAGTCAGCTTGCTAGACAAGTCTAACCGAGACTAAGTCAGCCCTGGGATGGTGAGAGCACTCCCCTGCCTTGTTCCCATAGAAAGAATAGGAAGAGAACTGCCAAGGAACTCATCAGTACATGCAGAGTAGGTCAGGGACGGGACATTCCTGCTGAGTAGCTGGAACTCATCACTTGAGTTTGCTTTGGGAGCAGGTGGCTGCCGTAGGGCTGGGTAACTTGGTGCTCTGCGCCCTGGAAATCCCTGGAGTGCCCCAGGAGTGTGATCCACCTGAAGAAGAATCGTATGGGTGGGCATTTTCAGATTTCCATTATGATTCTTTTATACATAGATGCCCTCATATTGTCCCCCCTCCTGCCTCCTTTCTCCATTCCCCACAGATAATCTCTTTCTGGCTTTGATCATGTGCACAAAATCTAGATTATCCATGAGGGGAAGCACGCAGAATTCGCACTTCAGAGTCTGGCATATTTTACTTAACACGGTGTTCTCTATCTAGTTCAGTCATTTCTCTGCAAATGATGGAATTTCATACTTTAAAGAATGAATGACTAAGTAAATCCCACTGTGTGTGTGTGTGTGTGTGTGTGTGAGAGAGAGAGAGAGAGAGAGAGGAAGAAGAAGANAGAGAGAGAGAGGAAGAAGAAGAAGAAGAAGAAGAAGAAGAAGAAGAAGAAGAAGAAGAAGAAGAAGAAGAAGAAGAAGAAGAAGAAGAAGAAGAAAGGGAGATAGATGGGGAGAGAGAGAATGCTCACATTAACTCATCCATTTATAATGGAAAGCACCCCAGTTTTAAAGGTAAATGACCTGGACAAAGACAACGTGGCCTCTAGGCCAGCACCCCTCCACCCCCCCATCCCATGTCTTCCTGAGGTGAACAGTGCGGTAATGAACATGGGTGTGCATGTACCTCGGGTGTGCTGGCTGGGCAAGCATTTTCAGTGACCCAAAAATATTTTCTTGTTTGTTTTCTTCATCCTAGACAAAAATCAAATCAGACATTTACTTCCTCAAATCACAGCACCAGCCCAAGCATAGGTGATGGGATGGAGGGGAGAGGAACCGGCTTAATGGAAGAATTCCCCGCAGAAAATCCTAGAAGGAATCCAAGCTGCAATAATCATGAGCTCGGTCTTGTGTGTAAACATGCCGATTTCTGTGAATAAATCACATATGTCTGGTCTGCTCACTTATTAGCCTCTTGAAAATTGCATTATAGGGAGTTTTTTTCTTTACGTCATTTTCTCAATTGCTACTCTGAACTCTTCCTAACAGCGGGGAAGGCATTTGCTCACTGTAGGAGAAAGAGTGCTATGTATCTGAGCAGTAATAAATACTTTGGCCAGGAGCACGGCTTCTGGTCCCTGCAGGAGTGGGGAGTGCTGAACTCACTTGAGACCAGCAGGGGTGATGCCTGCCTCTAGTCCATCAGTTGCCCATGAGAGGCCCTTGTGTGGCCACTTTTCCACAGAGATAAAAATGGTCTCCACACAATGCAAACGGGCATGGCAAACCATCCCCCACCTCATTTTCTACTTGAGTGAGTGTTCCCAGGTGAGGTCGCTCCACACAAAACTAGAAGTCTGCCAGTTTCTCCCACCATTGACCATCTGAATTAGAAAGGTGCCCATCTTCTGGGCCTCCTTTTCTCTGCCACCCTGTGGATTTTACTTAATACTGCAGTCAGTGTGGTCTTGAAAGGGAAAGGTCAGCTGATGGTCACAGTGTTGAGGACTGTCTCATTTGAGTTTTACCAGAGGGTTGATTACACTGTTTTAAGACAGCCTTTGAAACCTGCAACAGACTAGTCATAAACACCAAGGACATCTAGGTCTAAGGCTTTCTCAAAGCTTTATTTTTAAATTACATTTTACTTTTGTGTATTTCCATGTGCGTTTCTGTGGGCATACTTAACCCCATTTCTAGCTTGGTCAAGACTTCTATTTTCTTTAAACGTAGTATGTGACACCAGACAGGCCTGTTGGTGCAGGCTTCTAAACCCAGCACTCGGGAGGCAGAGGTAGGTGGACCTCTGTGAGTTCCAGAACAGCCAGGGCTATTACACAGAGAAACTCTGTCTCAAAAAAGAAAAAAAAAATCCTGTCTTCTACCTAGATTTACCTTCAACGTTTAACTTCACTTGCTGTGGCAATTATCATGTGTACACCTCTGTAGATCTTTATTATGTGTGGATATGTGAGTGATACATATCCACATGTGTGTGCCTGGGTGTGTACATGTGTGTATGTGTGTGTAGACCACAGGTTGATGTCGGGTATTTTCCTTACTCTCTCTCCACCTTAGTTGATGAGTCACAGTGTCTCTCTCTAAACCTGGAGACACTGATGTGGTTAGACTGACTGGCCAATGAGCTCCATTGATGCACAAGTCTCCACCGTGGCATCCCCCGGCTCTAGGATTACAGGCTAGTCGCTGCACACGGCTTTTACATAGGTGCTAGGGATCTGAACTCAGGTCCTTGGGCTTGTGCAGCAAGTAATTTATTGTCCTTTCTCAGCAACCCCCATCTATATTTTTTGATTACTTTTCAATTACACTAAAAACACATAAATCTTGAGTACGATTTGATGAAATCTGATCCCTCCTCATCCCCTGATTAAATGTTATATTGTATATTATATTAATATGTTGGGCTGGCAAGATGGCTCAGCAGTTAAGCATTTCCCAAGCAATCCTAAGCACCTAATTTGATCCCTGGACGGTGGAGAGAACCAAGCCCTGAAAGCTGCCTTCTGACCTCCATGTGAGCCTTGGTAGAGTCTTGCATGTGTGCACCAGTAGTACAAGAATACACAACAATCCCTACGAGTCTCTTAGACTGTCATATGGTGACCTTCCAAAAGCTGCCCCTTCCCTGTCACAGTTAAAGCCCCACCCACTGCACCAGAGGCGGCCACCACTCTCACTTTCTCCACCACGAATGTCTCTGTCTGTCTTTGGATCTGAACTCTTTGGATGTTCTCCATAATGAAACAGACATTTTTATTGCGCGATGTCTTCTGTAAGCATTGTTCTCTTCCAGCCTCTACTGTGATCTCCTCCTTTTTAAGGGGAGTAAATGTTCCACATTCATTTTCTTTTTTTTTAATGATTCAAATATTGATCTTTACATAAAGGAAATTAGTTTTGACTGATATACAGGCATTTTTTTTTTTATGAGACAGGGTCTCATGTAGTCTAGGCTAGCCTTGAACTCACTACCCACATTCATTTTCTCTTAACTTTCAAATCTACAAGTTAAGAAGGACAAATATGGACTGGAGAGATGGCTCAGTGGTTCAGAGCATGCACTGCCCTTCCAGAAGAACTGAGTTCAATTCCCTGCACTCACATCAGGCAGCTTGCCGCACCTCTAACAGTAGCTCCAAGGGTTCTGATGCTGTTGGCCGACCATGGGCACCTGTGCTTACCTACATATACACATAATTTAAAAGTAACAAAAGCATATCATTTTTAAAAAGAATGACAAACACAGATGTAAAACTTTAAATGCAAAAATAAAATCACATCTGTGCACATCGGATCACCTCCACTCTGCCCATGCAGCTTGGAAGCGTGTTATCTGCCATGAGTCTGGGTGCGAATCCACGTGACTCACCTCTGGCATGCTCTGAAACATCCCTGTTGTTTTTCCCACTCTTGGATTTTTGTCAGCGTGGTGAGTTTGAGATTCACCCAGGCTTGTATCTGCCACTTTCCCCTTGTATTTTCCTTTCTTTTTCTTTTGGTTTTTCGAGACAGAGTATCCCTGTAGCTTTGGAGCCTGTCCTGGAACTCACTCTGTATACCTGGCTGGCCTCGAACTCAAAGAGATCTGCTTGCCTCTGCCTCCCGAGTGCTGGGATTGAATGAATGCATCACCACAGCCCAGCTCCCCTTGTATTTCCTAATAGGATCCCATTCTGTGGAGATACACAGTTCATGTCCCTGTGCTCCCACTATGGGAGCCAGTGCTCTTAACTGCTGAGCCATCTCTCCAGCCCTTGTTTTCTTATCACTGTGCAGACAGCTGGCCTCAAAGTCGGACCCCTTCTGCCTCAGCCTCCCAAGTGAATGTGTTTTTATTTATTTTT